TTAACCTCAGAAATAAGCAAATAATCATTTTACTTCAAAATAATCTCAAAGAACAACTGTTAATTATGTTGGTTAATCGCAGGAAAAAAAAATACTCCGTTTAAGTAAAATGTTTAAAAATTCTTGACTTAATATATAAAGGAATAACGGGATTTGAAATTGCTAAATATACTCTATGAGTAAAATCTTCTACCTATTCCGTAACTTTTATTGTATTATATTGTTATAGTTATTCTATTTTATTATTAGTTATTATTGTTAATTTCTCATTACGCCTAATAAGATCGACGATAATAACGAATATTCCGTCTTTCATATAATTCTATTATTTTATATTGTCATAATTGTTCTATTTTATTATTATTATTGCCTAATGTATACATTAAATTTTATTATGTGTGTTTTTTATATAGAAAAATAGGAAAGAACTCGTTAGGTAAATAATCCGAAGTTCTTTAGTATTTTTGTTTTTATTTTTAAAAAACAGTGCTCGATACAAAAGTAGAGCCTAAATTTTATTATGTGTATATGAGAAAAACATAGTATATATCTACAGAATTCGCTACTATCCACGATTTCAAGCATCTGCTACAATATATAAGGGGAGAATACATAAGGGGCACTATTACAACACCACCTAAAACACTGGACTCCGGATGATGACGGTAACATCCATCAGCTAATTGACAAACTTATATATATATATATATATATATATATATATATATATATATATATATATATATGAATAAAAATGACAATAGGAAAACTGGTAATTGCTGACGTGTTTCCTCCAATGTGGACTTTATCAAAGCAAAATACGAAACGCGTCAGCAATTACCAGTTTTCCTATTGTCATTTTTATTCGTAAATATTGTCTTCTCTACTGGTTAAATCGGAGAAATTTTCATATATATATATATATATATATATATATATATATATATATATATAAGGCAACGGCAGAAAAAGGATATGTAAGTTTGAAAATGTATTTAAAAAATTAAAAATCTTTCTTGAAGATTTTATTTCAGTTATTTACTTTTAGTTTATCACATCGCAAGAAAGCGTCTCTTAATACGTAGGGGCCGTTATAAGGTGTTAACACATCTTTCGATAGCCTGCTGTTTGTGATTTTAAGTAAGGAGCAGATAGTTATAATAAAATTAGGAGACAAATATATGAAAACGCCTTATATATATATATATATATATATATATATATATATATATATATATATATATATATATATATATTAACTACCCAGTAATCTTAGAAATTGTTAATATTTTAAACGTTCTAATAGTTTATTGAATTTTAAGTATGTTCGCTTCATAGTCTTATTTACGAAGACGCTGGGTGACGAAATGTTAGAAAATTACCTACATTGAGGCCAGAAAAACAAGATTTTTAACAAAGATTAAAATCAGCTAACTTCAATAATGAATTTAATAAGTTGGTGATGCTTGTCATGGAGTTCTGAAGGGTATATACTTCTGGCATGACAGAGTGGGTCAGTATCTGCACTGGAAAATCTGCAACATCTACAGGAAAAAAAAAATCTGTATTGAATTGGTATGAACACCACCCAGAACCGGTCAGAGACTTAGGATCTGTAACAATCATATGGGACTTTACAGCACACTCCTAGACAGGATAATCACAGCTAATCACCCAGACAAAGCGATCAAAGACCACGATAAATCCGTCTAGATAATTGATTCCATTTCTAAAAAAAAAACTTTCGGCCTGAAGAGATGTATATGAAAATATACATGAATTAAATTTTAACCGACATTTATCAGTTTTTCGTATTGTTTTTCTTGATTTTTTTAAAATTCTTATTCTTCTTATTATTATTATCATCATCATCATTATTATTATCATCATCATCATTATTATCATCATCATCATCATTATTATTATTATCATCATCATCATTATCATCATCATCATAATCATTATTATTACCATCATCACTATTATTATTATTATCATCATCATCATTATTATCATCATCATCATTATTATTATCATCATCATCATTATTATCATCATCATCATTATTATTACCATCATCATCATTATCATCATTATTATTACCATCATCATTATTATTATCATCATCATCATTATTATCATCATCATCATCACATTATTATTATTATTATCATCATCATCATCACATTATTATTATTATCATCATCATCATCATCATTATTATCATCATCATCATCATCATTATTATCATCATCATCATCATTATTATTATCATCATCATCACCATCATCATCATCATCATCATCATCATTATTATTATTATTATTATTATTATTATTATTATACATACCTCTGGTCCACATACACATTAACCTGGTTGTTAAAGTTAACCATTTTGAATTACTCCTTTTTCTGGCAGCAAATGTAGAGTTAACTTTACCTAGGGTATATTCCAAAAGGAGCCTTTGGTCTTTACTTAAAAACCCCATTGTTACTATAGGTGCCATATTATCAAGAGGGACACTGATTTTCATAAATTTTACTTGTGGTAAATCATGGCAGTCACTGTGATAAAGTAAACGAGAGTAATCTCCCTTGTTTTATGATTACCTCCCTTCGGAGAACTCTTTCGTTTGTAGAAAACTATAAATCGTTACTACGCTGGTATAAATTATTCTAAACAGAATGAAGTTTATTTTTTTAAAGTCTACTTTTGCTCTCTTTTGTTATTACAGTCCCTTACAAACATTAGTGAGCCTGTAAAAGCAGTCAGGATTCTTGTACCATCAACATATTTAAAAACAGCTCTGAATGGTAGCTCATTCTGATGTAATGAACAGCCATTTGTATGTAATTTTTGATAGAGCTTCTTTTCCAAAGCAGTTACAAGGCCTGCCTTACATTAAGTATTTGTGTTTGTGTATATGATGTCCAGAACAGCCTTAAGGCTGTCTATACTATCAAATTCTTCCAAAACACTAAAAGCTTCTTCTGCTAGAACAACACCACTTGCATTTGTAGTTGGAACTATTCTATGAGTCAAGTATTTTCCAGTCTCAGTTCCTGTCAAGTTCACGTTCTATTCTCTTTTCCAATCCTCACCACAACTTTTTTTCCCTGATTTCAAACGTGGCTCCCAAAGCCTTGATACTTATCAGAGATAAGAATATATTTTCTCACAAACAAGAAAGCTGGAAAATATAAAAAAGAATTCGACCACCATTATCCTGTCCATGGTCACCTTAAAGTCTGGGGGAAACTTCTCATAGCTTGTCGGACCATTGCTTCCAAAGCAGTTCCCAAAACCTTGATTCTTATCAGAGATAAGAATATAGTTTCTAACCAATGAAGGAGCCAGGAAATTTGTATAACAATTTTGGAGGGAAAACTCCCCGATATTTCTGAGTTTCCCAAATCTCTATAAATACGGAAAATCTTCGTCTATTTGGAAGTGAGCAACTTCGACGACCGTCTGAGATAACAACGGGTCGGCAACAGAAAGGTAGTCATCTTCGCTGTCAGCTTCAAGAAAGATATACCTACTGGACTGAAAAAGCAGAACGTCAGCCCCCCTAGAAAAGCCAATTCAGATTTGCCTCTTTGCACCGAGAATATGTCTGTCGCCCGCCTACGAATTCACTCAACTACAGAATTCATATTTTCAGTTTCCACCTGTACAAGAACTCTGAAGAAAACTGTGTGTTTTAACCCTCAACAAAAATCTACTCGCTTAAAGAACTTTTAGGCGCCCAGAGAAATATTTTGAGCAAAAAAAAGACATTAGGTTTCATACACAGATGTCCTCAAGGACACATGGCACAGTGGATAAAGGTATTAGTTAGATCCAGTGACAGGACCAAAAGGTTAAGGCACTGGAGAACTTGGAGTGGGGAATTAATAGGAAATAACTGATAACTGACATCCATTAGACATGGCACGTGGAACTAGAACAGTCTACCTCAGCGAGCGAAATAAAGAGTTCAGTTCGGCATTCCAACCACCTGAAGAAAGCTGGAGTGTACAACGGCCGAAACGTTGTGATAAATATGGCAACAAAGATGAGGACAATAGTCCGAATAATGTAAATAGTGTACATTATACCTCATCTTAGAAATATAGACAGATACAAAACCTTTTATTAATGAACATTTTTGCTTCCTTTAAAGTTAACGGAATTTTCTTCGCCATTTCTTTCTCTTGTATTTGTGTTTATCCCTTTACTTTTTTTTTGTACACGTAACAAAACATTTTCTTCTTTTATTATTACACACTGAGAAGAAATTTGAGTCTTTATTTATTCTTTCGCCTAAAAGAGAGAGTTTGTTCGCTTTAATCTTTCAAGACGTAGTTGGTTTTTTTTTATTCAATTTTGTCGCATTTTTTAACCTCAACCCTTTCATGTGAGAAAGCCAGAACAAATTTCCCATATTTCCTGTATTTTAAAGAAATGCTAAACCTCAGTCTTAAATTTATTTACATTCACTTTATTTCTCAGCATGGTTATTTATTTCTGTTAACACCGAAACAATTTCTGAGGTATTAATTAATTTGATTTTAATTGCATTTCTTTGAATAGAATGCAAATTTTAACGTAAAATATTTTGTGTGGTTTTATGATATCACATAAACCCCAAATCTCTAGAGTTGTCCAAGAGTCTGGTTTCAAAATCAACTTACCCTAATGCATGTTTGAAGTTATTATGCAAATCACATAAGCCTCAATAACTCGAATTTCCTTTGAACTGCAGTCTGAAGTTAATATTAATTTAAGCTCGTTGAAAATCTAATAAAAGTATTTTTTATTTTTATTTTTTCATAATCTATGCTAAAACATGGGTAATGGAAATGATCTAACAATTGCTGAAAATTGCTGAAAAACAGAAAATAGCAAAGCTATTGGTTATGTTCACATTGGAGATATCAAAAGAATTTCGCAGAGATCATCGAACGATAAGGAGGGATGTTGAAACTATAAATAATTTGAGAACTAGTAACAAAGGAAAAAGATTTAAGAACTTGTCTCCTCGGGATCGAGTTATAGCGAAACAACCATTTTTGACCAGTGCTCAGATCTTTTTGAACAGGCTGGAATTGAAGAAGTTAAGGTGGACAAAAGGTGTTTAATACAAATTGGAATCTGTCAAGAAATCTCCAAGACAAACACCTCTCAGTAAAACAAATATTTTAAAGCGTCAAAATTGTGCCAAGGGATTTCCACGGAAGAATCTCGATGGACCTGATGGACGGAACAAAGGATAGATTTTATCTTATATAGATGTGCCTGTGGCTAAAATAAGGCAGAAAGTGGGCAGCAGTGTGGTGATACGGGTTGGAATTTTCGACCAATCCATTATTGAACCATTCAAAGTCGATGAAGGAGTTAAACTAAACAGTGCTAAAACTATTGCGATTTCTTGAAGTCCCAGCTTCACAGTTTCAAAATAAAGTGTGTATTTATGCACGACAATGGTCCTTCTCGTGTTTCTAATGCTACATGGGATTTTATTTTGAGCGTAGAAGGTTTACAGGAGTGAAGATAATGGAATAGTCACCACCAATTCCCGATCTAAATTCGATCGAAAATCTATGGTCAACTGTGAAGATGAAATTATATGAAGGTAGCAAACAATAAAACAAAAATCAGACCTATGGGAGCAATTGAAACCCCTATGTCAGAAATTGAATCAAAGAATTTAACAAATTCAATTGATGGAGATGAAAGATCCCTATTTTAAGATGTCATTGTTTTAAAGACTTATCAGATATGTTTGTTATTTGTTCTATTATAAGTATTGATAAATTTTTGATGATTTTATTACCTTCTTATTGAAGTAAAAAATGATTTTCTGGATTTGTATGATAACTTCGGACTGTAGTTTTTATAATAAATACACTAACTTTGATAAAATACGTTGAAACTAACTAAAAATTTAACTGAAGCTATGTTTTCACGTCTAAATTAACTGTTTAAAATTTTACAAAAACTGTTCAAAGCAAATTCGAGTTATTGAGGTTTATATGACTAGCACAATAACTTCGGTTTACAGAGAGAGATGAACAGACTGAGATAGATAGATAGATAGATAGATAGATAGATAGATAGATAGATAACGAAGAGACCGGGATAGATAGATAGATAGATAGATAGATAGATAGATAGATAGATAGATAGATAACGAAGAGACCGGGATAGATAGATAGATAGATAGATAGATAGATAGATAGATAGATAGATAGATAGATAGATAGATAGCGAAAAGACCAGGCTAGATAGATAGATATCCTGGGTGCATTTAAGATTCTCAGTCAGAGTAAGTGAAAGGGAGAAAAAAGAAAGAGGAAAACATAAGTTGATTGAAAAGAAGTGGGTGTATGTAAAACCGATTTTATTAGCGAAAAAGAAAAGAAAGTGAAATCGAGGCTGAAATATAAATGAGGTGAAATAAAGAAAAAAAAGGGTCAGGTTGATGAGAGATGCGATTGAATGAATCGGTGTGAGAGACTCGCGTTATTTCTAAGACTAAAAGTGGGTTAGAGTCAGTGTCGACTCTAATTGAAGCCAGGTCCCTATTGGTGGGTCATGAGTCTAGTTGATGGGATCGAAAAAAAAATTGGGTTGACAGATAGACACCAACAATCGAGGTTAACCTGATCACCCTGTCACGCAGGGGGGGGGGGGGAAACTCACCTTTCTTCTGTTGTTCTACTCTAAAGGAAATATAATCCAGAACAACGGACGAAACAAACCATTCACAAAAGGCAACTTTTAAATCGGAAACAATAAACGTAATTCCGAAAACCATACTTTTTGAAAATCTATAACTGATTAGCAAACAAGTATTCTAGATGTTTTTTGTTAATGTTTCGATGTGCATTTGCATCATCTTCGACCAATAAAACTTATAAAACAAATATTTATAATATAACTATTTATACTTAGAATAAGAAAGAGACAATTGAAATTTCTTGGATGCATAATGAGGAAGGAGGGTTTGGAAAATTTGACACTCACAGAATATAGTGAAGCCAAGAGAAACAGTGGAAAGCAGTGAATAGCCTACATAACGAGTTTGAGTAAATAGCAAAAAGGGATTCGCAGTGATGGCAAAAAGCTACTTTTCTAAGAGAGGTTGTGGAGAGCCATGATTTTCCACGTTCTGAAGGGACACGGCAGATAGAAGAAGGGGTTGCATATTGATGGGAAAGCATAAGTATTATGAATATTAAACTTAAAATAATTACATTAAATAAAATAGTTTTGACGTGAATACGTTAAATTCATTTATTTTCTTAATTAGTATCTTACTGCGGCAATTTACCCCCCCGCCCAAAAAAAAACTTTCAAAAATTTACCCTACGTTTTCTAAACCGGATCCTCAATTGCTTATAGCCCTAAAGCTAATTATAAACATAGTGCATTGTGTGTAATAAGATAAAGCGTTGGTTCATTCTTTTCATAGTGTCTCGCGAAAAATATATAGCTGCCAGGAAGGAATCTGGAAAAGTAGACGGCTAATTAACACCGAAAGAAAACAGATAAGACAGCAAATATTTGAATTGGAGAGCGTGCAACGTAGCGCTCGCGCAACAGAGAGAGAGAGAGAAAGAGAGAGAGAGAAAGAGAGAGAGAGAAAGAGAGAGAGAGAGAAATTGAGGGATAGATTCTAATATCCTTCCTAAATGTATTAAGCTTACTTAACACTTCGAATAGTTCTTTGTGGCGTGCTTTATAAAACGCTTTTGCATAATCTATAGTGAAATAATTTTCAATGCATTTCTATAGAAACACATTGACAACACGTTCATATGGTAAACTCATGTACAATACATTCCTGTAGTAAAAGTATTTACAGCTTATTCCTATATCAAAATCAATTTAAATACATTCCTATAATAAAATAATTTTCAAAGCATTTCTCTAGTAAATTCATTTTCAATGATTTTATATAATAAAATAATTTACAATGCATTTCTCTAGTAAATTCATTTTCAATGTTTTTATATAATAAAATAATTTACAATGCATTTCTCTAGTAAATTCATTTTCAATGTTTTTATATAATAAAATAATTTACAACGCATTTCTCTAGTAAATTCATTTTCAATGTTTTTATATAATAAAATAATTTACAACGCATTTCTCTAGTAAATTCATTTTCAATGATTTTATATAATAAAATAATTTACAACGCATTTCTCTAGTAAATTCATTTTCAATGATTTTATATAATGAAATAATTTACAACGCATTTCTCTAGTAAATTCATTTTCAATGATTTTATATAATAAAATAATTTACAACGCATTTCTCTAGTAAATTCATTTTCAATGATTTTATATAATAAAATAATTTACAACGCATTTCTCTAGTAAATTCATTTTCAATGATTTTATATAATAAAATAATTTACAACGCATTTCTCTAGTAAATTCATTTTCAATGATTTTATATAATAAAATAATTTACAACGCATTTCTCTAGTAAATTCATTTTCAATGATTTTTATATAATAAAATAATTTACAACGCATTTCTCTAGTAAATTCATTTTCAATGATTTTATATAATAAAATAATTTACAACGCATTTCTCTAGTAAATTCATTTTCAATGATTTTATATAATAAAATAATTTACAACGCATTTCTCTAGTAAATTCATTTTCAATGATTTTATATAATAAAATAATTTACAACGCATTTCTCTAGTAAATTCATTTTCAATGATTTTATATAATAAAATAATTTACAACGCATTTCTCTAGTAAATTCATTTTCAATGATTTTATATAATAAAATAATTTACAACGCATTTCTCTAGTAAATGCATTTTCAATGATTTTATATAATAAAATAATTTACAACGCATTTCTCTAGTAAATTCATTTTCAATGATTTTATATAATAAAATAATTTACAACGCATTTCTCTAGTAAATTCATTTTCAATGATTTTATATAATAAAATAATTTACAACGCATTTCTCTAGTAAATTCATTTTCAATGATTTTATATAATAAAATAATTTACAATGCATTTCTCTAGTAAATTCATTTTCAATGATTTTATATAATAAAATAATTTACAATGCATTTCTCTAGTAAATTCATTTTCAATGATTTTATATAATAAAATAATTTACAATGCATTCTTATAGTAAAATCGTTTTTACTTCATTCCTACCGCAAAATTATTTATAATGCATTCCTATAGTAAATCATTTTCAAAGCATTATAAATAAGATCATTTTCACTCTGTTCCTCTTGCCTTCAATATGTCCTAGGAGAATTGAATTCTCCAAGCCTTCTTTCACCATCATGAATTCAACTTTATCTTTCTGTAAAAGTATATTTTCGTTCCGATTTTCCTGAAAGGTTCCTGGTATTCTCGGCATTCTTCTGGAGAAACACATCTCTGTTCTTCTTATCTTCATCTGTTGAACATTGACTGTCATAAAAACAAGAATTGACATTAGACAGAAGTGTTGTATTCATATGCAAACCTCCATCTTATAAATAGAAGTTGATACATCCGGAGGCAGAACGAATCCTAACCTTTTGACTGGGATTTGTATTCTTTAAATATTAGCCAAAGTCCTAAGGCACTTTAAAAGGCAGAACATCTCCTTTGAGAGTGGGGCTGGGTTTATGGCTTAGTGTTTGAGGCAACCCCTAAAAGGAAAAGTAGGGGGGGAATTTTTGTGCAGTACGTTTGTTAAACCCACTTTAAACCTCAGCCATGTATCACATCGGGTTGCGACGTGGGCACCCTGGTAAATACCACAAATCCTCACCTTGAAGACAAAACTACAAGAGAAATACTAGATAATACTTTTAACTAATTATAGATTACAACATTCTATTCACTACTAATTCTCGGTTCGGATATTAACATGGACAAGGTACTAAAACCTAAAATGCTGGATCTAGATAGAGACAGAGAAAATATGGAATCATTGGTACCAAACATTTTAAAACTTCCTGAACCATATTAAGGGTGAGAAGTTGGATATTCTAATAAATTAGGTGTCATCTTCAGTATATAAACTGTTCAGCAAATGTACAAATTTTGAAGAAGCTATTAACATTCTGAAGACAGCTTTCACCCAAGAAAACAGTAAGATATACGACAGGCATGTCCTTGCAACCAGAACTCAACAGGCTGAAGCAATCTTGGATCATTATCTTCAAGCATTGCAAGTTCTAGCGAAGGACTGTAAATTCAAAAATATTACATCTAAAGTTTACAAAGAAGCTAAAAGAGATGCCTTTATTTCTGGTTTTATCAATAAATATTGTTCAATTATTTGCCTTTTTAGCCAGTTTTACCCTGAAGATCCGTTTAGGTGAAACCTAGGTAGGTCTGCCTGGCTCCTTAGGATTATTATATATATATATATATATATATATATAATCCAAAGTTCTTTAGTATTTTTGTTATTATTTTTAAAAAATACTACCTCTTATCTAGCGTGTTGGAATCATATTTTTAAATAAATAATTATTTATATATATATATATACACACACACACACATATATATATATATATATATATATATATATATATATATATATATATATATATAAATAAATCTATTTAAAATCGGTATATATATACATATATATATTTAGATATATATATTTATATATGTATATATATATACATATATAAATATATATATATATATATATATATATATATATATATATATATATATATATATATAAAATCGCTATATATACTTGGAAAATCACTATATAGATAGCAGTGTCAAATAATTTAATGGCCCCAGTATATTTGTTTTAAATTAATCCTATTTAATGTATCTGTCGTCTAAATCATATTTTGGTGACTTGTTTTTATTAATGTTTACTGAAACCCATTTTGTTTAGTCGAAAGTTATTTCACAAAAAGACATAATTAATGGGAAATTTGACACAGCATGAACATATCACTCCTTGACTAAAGTGGCTGGGTCTCATCACAGAACAGATTTGTTGTCGAAAGGCGATTTCTGTACTTTGTTGTCATAATCGAGAATCCAGACTCGCGGAGAAACGCGGCCGTGAAAAATAACATGTTTGATTGCGTTCTTACTGATTTCTGGATATTGTTTGGAGGTTTTCAACCCGACCTGAGCTAACTCCAATTTTTCTTAAGAAATTCACGACCTATCTGTCCCATTCACGCCCACATGTACTTACCGAGAATGTTACAATTTTTATTAGTCTCTCTAATCCAGTTTTTTCCATCTTTGACCAACGACGTTTTATTTTAAAGCATTTATTGAAACGTTTCTAGTTACAAATTTCCGTGTCAAAATTAATGATTACGAAATCCTCTGAGAACCAAGTCATCGAACTACGAATAAGTTTTTGTTAGTGTAATTAGAGTCCTACCCTATAAATCAGTGTTTCTCCAACGGTGTTTCCCGAAACCCTAACGTTGAGCGAGAGGTCTCCAGGGGTTCGGCAAGAAACAGTGATCATAGGCTAATTCATTTTTGAGTCATTTTTATTTAGTTTTATATTCGTAATTCTATTATAGACGTACGGCATATTGTTGAGAAATGTTATAATGATAAAAGCTTCATATATTTAAATACTAGCAGTAGAGCCCAGCGTTGCCCGGGGATGTAACAGTAAGAGATAGATCAAGTATCGACCATCATAAAGATTGAAAAATAAAATTGACAAAGATTATTGTTTAAGGTTGACGGACACGCATGTCTTAATTAGGTTTTGTTTTTTGGGTTTTTTTTTACGAATTGGTCAAACCCAAACTCAAACAAAAACATTGTTTTCAATCGTTATGAGTCTACCGATTGAATAGAATTTTATTATAAACAATTGTCTTGTAAATGGAATTTTTAAAGCATTCTGAATGTAAAAATAGAGAAAAAAGTGTGCAAGACAATAAGAAACACTACCTGCCAAAAAAAAGTGAAGTTTTGTTGAAATCGGTTGAAAAATGTTGGAAATCTGATCCCATCTATAAACACACACACACACACACACACACACACACACACACACACACACACACACACACACAACCTGGGTTTTATAATAAGTATAACTCGATATGAGTTGTCTCCCTTTCATTCGCGCGACAGCGATGCCTCTTAATCGTGTTTTTAAATTGATTTCGTGCAAAAACAATTGTGTTTTTCCATTTTTGGCGGTGTCAGAACCACCGCAAGGTAATTTTACGTAGTCCTGTGAAGTTTTGTTGAAATCGGTTGAAAAATGTAGGAAATCCGATCCAATATATAAACGAACACACACACACAACCAGGGTTTTATAATAAGTATGATTATTGCTTTAAATATTATTGAAAATTATAATAATCATAGGGAATATATTGAGCAATGTCTATATGAGGTCAATGTGAAATTGTCTTCACTGTTTACTGGATAGGACTCGAGTTCAGGACGCATACTCGGCGGCTGTCTAGTATATTTATCACGTCAACTACGATACATATATAAAAGAGATAGATAATAATTTTATGCAGGATTTCCCGGAGACATGGGTAAAAAGGTTGAAAAACGCTGATGTAAATAATGGTTAATCGAAGTGAAATTCTGGCTTCTTTGTGCCAATACTGATAACTGATACAGCAGCTTTTACCTCGGCAGGTAATTATGGAAAATGAGTATATCTCCGTTCTCAATGACTGACTTACTTTTCTGTCTATCATTGCAGCAAACAGGGTCGGTGCTCTACCACTCTCGAAACTTTGATAAGCTTCCCCCGCCTCTTCTACATGTCTATTTCAAAATTTTCCAACCTGAAGGTCACAAACCCTTGGAGGAAAATGATGGCAGCGCTTTTTTAAATTACCGAAACTCAGAAAATTATCCAATTTAAATGAAAATGTCAGTACCTATTCATTAATTATTTACTTTTATAATGAATAGGATTTTTATTTTTAAAAATTATGAGAAAATGTTGTTATTTTTGTAAAAACCACCAATATTTTCAGGACTAAATTTTATTCGAAAAAATATGTTTAAGTCGCAATTTTTTTGCATATCCTTAAACATTAATCGCCGACGCATCTCTGCTGAGAAAAAAAAAACGTTTTACAAAGATTACAACACAACACAAACGGGATTGTCTTAAAAAATTTGTTTTAAAAACCGTATTTCAGTTTTCTGGAAAATTTTTCGTCTTTAAACATCTTTGTTTTTTAAGCGATCATTTACTCGGTTTTATCTTCCTATAAATGTAAAAAAATAGGGACTATAAATTTAATTTTAATTACTAGCCATGGACTTCTGGTTAGTTTTACTATTATTAAGTAAAAAAAATCAAAGTTCCTCCTTAGTGGATGATCTCGGAATAAAAAAATGATTTTACTAAGATATATTACCCTCTTAATTGATTTAAAAGATCTGTTCAGAAAGATAATTACAATTTAAGAAAAATAAGCGCTACTGAAATTAGCACTTCTGCACCCCCCCCTTTACTCCTCAGTAGGCATGAAAAGTTGAGACTCTCACCCAGTTAAGAGGATCGGGGTAGTAAGCGCCGGCCTTGTCGATTATATTTGATGATTGAGAACATACCTTAGGTAAAAAAAAAATACCAAAACCAAAACAACGCTGCTGAACCCCCGACGAGGCTGGAGCCCCCTTTGGGGCTCCAGCCTCGTCGGGGGTTCCTGCGTAGTACGCACCGCGCCAGCCATTCGGATACACGATATATATTATTAGTTGGTGACTGACAATGTGACGTCAGTTTAAAAATTACTTTTAAAAATGACATATGGCCATAAAACAGTGGTGAAAAAAAAAAAAAAAAAATGGCAGAGGCCACAACACAGAGCATCCAAAACGCCCCCACCCCCGGTCGGAGGTTTCAAGGGTAAGACGCACCGGTCCTGGCAGCAAACTATTGCCAAAACAATGATGAAGACAACGGGGCCCAAGAAACCCTCAAGGTAGAAAACGAGTAATTGTGGTTTTTGTAAAAACGTACGGTGGAGGGAATCTACAGGTGTATATGAGGATATGAAGCGGTTGAACCTAGACGTGAAGATTATAGTGATCGGGAAGCATCCTCTCGGGAGTCCATTCCGCAATGCAGAGAAGAAGCTGGGACTTTCTTTCACCAATGGAATGTGAAAGGAACGAGGATGAGTCGTCTCTGTGGATGTGGTATGGCGGGATTTAGTTTGAACCAGTGGAACTAAGGAATGTATTGCGTCTGAACATCTGCCATGGAAATAGCGTTAGATTAAAGAAATGCTACGTCTTTTTTAAAAAACTAATATTCATCCATTACAACGCCCAAGGGCCACTTAAGATAGAGGGTTACTGAGTGGAGATGTATTAGCGTAAGAAAGGCTTAGATATGAAGTTCTTGGGGGCTATGCAGGAAAAAAAAAGTTACTTCTAGGCATGAAGAGATCAAGATTTAATTAGTGAATAAAATTTCAGAGTTCAGGCGGGGCTATTAGAAGTATAGTGCAGAAGTAGACATTAGAAGGAACCCGAAATATAATCCTAAACCAGGAACAAGGGATAAACCTCTACTCCTGTTCGAAAGACTATTAGAAATGGAGATGGAAGGTGGAAAATAATTCCTCACCCACAAGGGCACACAAATGCTTTTGGATTCTGTCGAGGCTGGAAAATGAAGATTGGCCACATCCAGCTCAGAAAAAGGGATTCAGAGAGAGAGAGAAAGGGGTGGGGGAAGAAAGAGAGAGGGGCTATTAAATTTTACCGCTCTTTTTATTTATTTATTTTTTTTTTCCTATCGTGTCTGTCCAATATTGACTAGATTCTCATGAGATTAACTAAAATTAACTAAATTCTTTAACCAGGCAGTTATTTTCGTTCCTGTTTTAAGGATGTTAATGGTGGTGAGGTGGGCGCAATTGAACTCTTTTTTTTTTCTTGTGTGTGTGTTGGTGTGTGTGTGTGTGGGGGGTAATCTGCTGTATCTACCACTAGCCAAACGATTCAGCTCTGTCAGATTTGCCTTATCTGCAAGGTGGAGGTCTGGTTGTCACAGATACGAGATGGCTGTTTCTGCAAGTATAAATCTGGGAAAGTGGCGCTATCTTATCTCTGTTGGTTCCGTTCTCGCTGGGGATTCGCCTGAATGAATTTAAATATAAGAGTAAATATTTCTGCACACGCACACATGCACACGCGCGTACATGCACACTCACATACGCACACACATACACATGTATGCACACACAGACGCACGTATGCATAAATATACACACAAACACATATATTTGCCTGCGTTTGGGTATACTTGAAGTTAGCCTCGGAACATCTACCTTATGGGTGAAGTACATTTGCATTATTTTGTATTAGCATAGTATCTGTAAACAAAGAAAGTAACACACACACACACACACACACACACACACACACACACACATATATATATATATATATATAAATTCAAACAGATATTGTTAAATATAACAGACGACGAATGTCTTTTATGTTTGATCATGAGCCGTTCCAAACTTCGTATATTTGATTTAATTTCGGGAGGAAATAAAGACAAAAACTCTTCAACATTTAGATATTTTTTATTATGCTATTCTTTGATCTAAGGTTTCGGCTCAGAGGAGCCATCTTCAGAGTGGTTATATGGGCATTTAAACAAATATATTCACCATCAAATATGATATTCTGTTATGTTGACATAGAAGATTGCTATGCGATGATAACGGTTCGGAATAGCAGACACAGGTCGTAAGTTCAAGATGCGGTTCTATGACGTCGTACCACGGGAGAGAACAAAATATTAACAACAGAACCATATATTTAGATGCAATGTAATGTGTTGTGACTAGTTTGAAATGTAATTTTATTGAGTGTGGGTTATTGTTTTTTCTTTTAAATATAAATGGCTACCTCAAATGAAAGGAACAATCAAAATAAAAGTTATTTCTGAAAATATATTCGTACACAAAAATGAAAACAGAGGGGAAAAAAAGGATATCAAGAAATGTGAAAGTAACGCAAAGTCTACTAAAGAAAATGGTCTTTCATGCCTGATTTTCCTGGGTATGACAATAAACTCCATCCGGCATCAAAGCCTCTGATCAGAAGATTCAAGGTTTTGAGGAGCGTGAAGTCACTTAATTGATTTTATTCCCAGTTCCACCTTAACTTGGAGTGAGTGGTAGTACCTGTTAGGGTCTCAGCCACAGGCAAATAGTGGACACCCAAACAAAAACCAACAATACACTTTTATAGCAAAATTACCAACAATATATTTCATGATCTACAAACTATATATTAAAAAATACCTTTTACCCTGAATGTGTAAACTTATGTAGAAAATATTTAGATTTCGCCATTAAATAACCCAGAGTTTGATATGCCGCTAAACAAATTCAGCAAACGTGTATATGCACAAAAGCTGAGTATCATCTACCATGTATTCAACTGTGAAAGCAGAATAACATATAACATATTTTTTTATTACTTCAAAGCTCCCAAGAAAATTAAATTTAGTCATTAAATGACCCATAAGGTGTTGATATACCGTTAAGCAAACAAATCAATTATTCATGCCTGAACCGAATTACAGCAAGCTTGCCAAATGGCCTTAGATTTTCCCAGTAACGATCAGTATCAGCTTATAGTATAGATCAAACCACAGAATGTTACATTACATGATCTTCGCAAAGAATTTAAAAAAAACGAAAAAAAAAAAAATGTTCTCATTATTTACATTATTCGGACTATTCTCTTTATCTTTGTCGCCATGTTTATCACAACGTTTCGGCCGTTGCACGCTCCAGCCTTCTTCTGGAATGGTTGGAATGTCGAACTGAACCTTTTATTTCGCTCACTGGGGTAGACTGTTCTAGTTCCACGTGCCATGTTTAATGGATGTCAGTTGTCAGTTATCTCCTGTTAATTTTCCCTCTGAAAGTTCTCCACTGCCTTAACCGGGTATTGAACTCACACTCTTTGTGTCCTATCACTGGATCTAACCAACGCCTTTATCCACCGTACTGGGGTGAAATAATAATAATAATAAAATAAAACTAAAAAATGATCTGTGTGACTCGTTTGTAGACCTTCAAACCGTATGAATAAATGTAGACGCTTTCAAAGAAAACGGGGTGGGGACGAGATAATTGCTCTATTTACATTATTCGTAAAGCTCCCAAGAAAATTAAATTTTGTCATTAAATGACCCATAAGGTGTTGATATACCGTTAAGCAAACAAATCAATCATTCATGCCTAAACCGAATTACAACAAGCTTGCCAAATGGCCTTAGATTTTCTCAATAACGATCAGTATCAGCTTATAGTATAGAACACATCATATAATATTATATTACATGATCTTCGCAAAGAATTAAAATGTTCTCCTATACAATATAATAGGATAACGTCATCAATGGTTGAACCATCGAAAACGTAGGAGATTGATTTTGTTGAAAGTTGTTCAGCAAGAAATAAATGCTACATCGTCCCAACAAAAAAAAAAAAAACAGGTTAAAAAAACTGGAATCATTTCTGAGTAATTATCTGTTCACTTGAAAAAAAAATACTGGAGATTTAGAAAGCTATCAAGCCATCCGTGAAATTGGAGTGAACTGGGCTAAAAGGAAAAAAAAAAACAACTGATATTATTAAATGGCTGAAAATTAGGAAAGAGGAACGATATTAACGAAAAATATTGGAATGCTTGATTGTTTCGATAAGAATGCTTGACATTCAAAACTTGCCATCAGGCGGGAAAAGTTTTTAAAAAAATGTACATCTAGCAGTGGAAAATTTTTAAAATTTGTATTTCCTAAAATCTGGATAACCAGGAAGTTGATATCTCTTTGGACCTAACCCTGGTGACGCAATGTGTGAAAAATTGACTTTCAATACGTTCATCATGTTCTCTCAAATAAAGCTCTTTGCCTGTTAGAACTCAAGCTCACCCCAGACCTCAAGTGAACTCGTACATACGCTCTATTCGCTAAATCTGCTGGAAAAAAAAAGTCGGTTCCTTGTATCTCTCTGGTAAATATAGCAGAAAGATTCAGGTACTTATTGGAGCAGTACAGAGAAGCATCATCGTATGTACGAGTTTCCGATTCTGGTGTGGGTTGTAGGCGCAAAAATCAGGGTGCGTTTAGTGATGATGGAATGACACTAGTTTGGTTTTGGGGTCATTAAATATGACCAGCCAGTTTAACCCCACCACTGAACTGTTAGAGCTGGGTCAGAGAAAAGATCAGATGCCAGACTGATTTTCCAGAATTTTGGAGGTACGCCCATAAAATGTTGTATCATAAGCATAGATATACACAAAAGATCGGAGTAAACTTTTACGCAGTTAAGAAGGATATCTTGTTTTGGTTTGTTTTACGGCATAACTTCAGTAGATTATTTAATGCCGACAAAATTTTTATTACTGGTGATATTTTTTTCTTTTTTTTTCTTTCAAAAAATGTATTGCTGGTGATATCTTTTTTTTCTTAAAAAAATCTATCGCTGGTAATAATTTTTTACAAAGTATTTCTGGTATGAAAATATATCTTTACACTTTCATAGTGTTTTGGCCCCAGTTTGGGGGGTTAACTATTTAACCATAGCTGGGACCCTAACAGGTGCTACCACTCCGGTTAACCTGGGAACACCAGCAATTAAGAGGTGGTTCCACGTTCCTCAAAATCTCCTGATCAGAGGCCGTGCTGTTCGATGTAGTTTATCGTCATACCCAGGACAACAGGTAAGAAGGAAATTATAATCAAACGATTTATTCCCAAGAACCGCTATTTGTAGAACAGATTTCAAGTCTAGGGTAACCGTTATCTCTCCTACGTAACCTCATCAACTGTACATCTGTCTCTTCTTACATTCACACAGCATCATTTAGTAACCCTCTGCCTTATGTGGCTCTTTGGCCTTATAGCGGATGAACATAATGAATTATACAGTTTCTAGTCAGTACTATAAAGAAGCAAATTTTAACCGATACAAAATCATTTACACTGGATTAAGTGATTGATTTCTTTGTTACAGATTAGCAACCATTTTGCAGTTTATTTAAAGTCGGAAAATATTTTTAGATTGTAAGAATTTTCTGGGGGTAGTAATGATTTAATGATACAAGTCCTAATACTTAACCCAAGAAAAGAAGAGGTGGATTCATGCCTTTTCTCAGGGTATTTATTACACCACTATCCATTACACCACCTGCACATCGAAGGTTACAGCACCTGGTGATCTTAACTTTGGTGATTGTACCGGAACCAATGTTTCAACGTGATATGATCGCAAGCCATTTATTCTGTACTTGTTATGTAGTGGTTTCACAGTGGAGGCTTGTATTTGTACTAAGTTGGTCCTAAAATATGTTCGACGTTCAAAACGTTAGGCACTTGATATAATAGGTAATGACGCAGAGAAATCTAGTTGTGGTGGCTGATACTTTAGTATCCGACTAACGGTCGTCCGGCATCGACTGACTGACCGACCCACTGAGCGACTCCTCGTTACTCTTACTACTCCTACTTATTATAGGTGGTAGAGTCTATTAACAATAGAATAGGTGTGTTCCACAATAACAGCACTGTACATATGTTAGACAAGGAAAATAGTCCAGCTAAATAATTTCGTGAACTAAATTCACAGATTTCTTTACCGTGTGGAAAATCTTTAGGTACAATGTCCATAACTGACTGGGATGGATATCCGTTGCCCGTGAATCAAACAGACTTTACCAACTGAACCACAGTCCGTACCCCTTGGAATTCCTAACGAAAGTCAGGCTATCTTGCGTAGTTCCGTACTTGCTTATTCCTTTGTTAGAACAGGTGTAAATACTTAGCTGTCCCCATGACGCATGCAGGCCCACATGGAGCTGGATGAAGCACTTCACAGAGAGGAAAGGGAGTTGTGAAAAAGCGAAATGAAATTGGCCAAAAAGAAGAGATATTTGGGTTGGCGAAAAAAAAATCTACAAAAAAATCTATCTTTTCTTTTCTTCTATTTAGTTTCAAGGTTTACAAGAGGCAAACATACAACACCACACAAACAAATGTCAACGCTTTCTTTCTGGGTTACTTGCTTTTCATTGCTATTTTTCTTCGCCTTTCTTCGTTGTTTTCTTTCTTTCTTTCTTTCTTTCTTTCTTTCTTTTCTTCTCATATTTTATCTCCTTATCCCTTTCTTTTTTCTTTCTTTTTTACCACATTATTTTACCATTTCTTTCTTTCTTTCTTTCTTTCTTTCTTTCTTTCTTTCTTTCTTTCTTTGTCTTTTTCTTGTTTTCTTTCTTGCCACTGTTCACTAAATTTTGTTTCCTTTTTTTTCCAGTGAATTCTTTTCTTTTTCCTTCTTTCTTTATTCGTTTTCTTTGATTTAATATTTTTTCTTTTCTAAATTATCTTTTCTCATTTTCTCTTTTGTTTGTTAAATCAACTGTTTTATTCTTTCTTTCTTTCTTTCTTTCTTTCTTTCTTTCTTTCTTTCCCACCTTTTCCCTTTCACTCCATTAAAATTATTCCTGACTTAGTTTTTTCTTTCTTTTAGTTATTTATTAATTTACTTTGTTTCACTCATTCTTTTCTTTATTTAACTAAATTATTTTTTCTTCGTTATTATTTTCACAGTAATTCACTTTCATTGTGCCGTTTTTTTCCTTTTTCGCGCCTTTCTTTCTTTCTTTCTTTTACTGAATTATTTATTTCCTTTCTTTATTCTTTCTATCCTCAAATTGATCTCAAATTGATCTATTTCGTAAATAAATATTTCGTTTTATGGTAACTCGAAGCTACTCTTAGTTCGTGGATATATTAATGTTTGCTATCTCATTACTTTTTATTTTTTTGTTTTATGTTAACTTTCTTTGAATATTTTTACTAATATTAATAGTAGAAATCCTTATTTATGATTTTCACTTGCCCCTACTGTTTGCCTCTTGATAAGATCCAGAGGCGGATATGTAATATAATTGGCCCTGTTCTGGCATCTCGTTTACAGTCACTCTCTCACAGACGCGCCGTCGCCTCTCTCTGTCTTTTCTACAAATACTATCATGGTAATTGCTCCGAGGAGCTGCTTTCGCTGGTTCCCAGACTTCGCGATTTCAAGCATCCTACGAGGCTGGCATCCCGCTCTCGCCCTTTCACTGTTGAAACTGTTAAATGTAGCCGCCTCTTCTACTCCAATAGCTTCATATCTCGCACCTCTCGCCTGTGGAACTATCTTCCTTATTCCTGTTTCCCTGTTAGTTACAATCTCCAACTATTCAAATGTAACGTCAATCGACATCTCCAGTTGCCTTGATCTATCCACTATCCTTCTCCTCATCCTTTTCCCTATCATTCCTATCTACTCTCGCTCCAAATCCTCTATAACCCCTTGCGTGCTAGTGGCTTCCCGCCTTGCTAAGGGTGAAATGCTTAAAAAAAAAAAAAAAAAAAAAAAAAAAAAAAAAAAAAAAAAAGTTGTAGTCAAGGGAGGTAAATCTGAATTTCTTATTGAATTGCATATCGTTAAATAGAAATTAATATTATAAAATTACGTGCAACAATTTAGTATTTATAAAGTACTATTATTACTCATTCAGAAAATGTGACTATAATTAATTTAATGCTTAGTGGAATAAAGGGAGAATTCCGTACGAGATTTTATTTTATTTCAAGATAATTATCATTTATTTATTTACAAGAATAGCAAAGTAAAAAAAAATATATATAAAACTTTTAGAAAATTAAACGCCATTATTTGTTTATGTCACAAGTTATATTTAGTTCACAGATAGTAATTTTGGAATTTGCATTATTCTTATAATATATCAAAAAATTAATTATTACTCTTAATCTTTGACATTACAACTAATATCGAACAGGGTGAGTTTTACTGTTTGTTTCTCTGTCTGTAACAATGAACCCCCCACCCCCGGTCAATGGATAATTATCAGAAACCTAGATTTGCTACAAAATAATGAGAAATTCCGTTATCATAGTAAAACGAGAAATACTCAGTGTCACGTGATACAAGCAAGTGTTGTATTACCAAATAACATTTTTTTCACGGGTCATAATAAATGATAAACTTCATAAAACATTAATAAAATATTACTTCCTTTGTCTGAGCCATACAGTAATAGACTGACCTGTTTGAAACGACTTATAATAGGCTAACGACATTCACTGGAGAGAAGCAAGACAACTTTAAAAAAAGAGGAACCTATTAAATAAGTGGTTATGGACTAAAATATGAGCATATAAACTTGTTTATATAGCAACACAGCGCCATCTATCGTAAAATTTCTTTAAACTTAATAACTGAAAAACGAATGATTTGCCGATATATCTTTATATAGACTTTTGTCCTTGTTTTGGTGTGAATTTTTATAACAGCATTTTAAATAAACCCTATATATATATATATATATATATATATATAATACATTTTGTGAGCACGTTTTGTTTTTTATTATTGAAAACTACTTTTGCATCCCACTGTATAGCGAGACAAAGAAACTGTGAGAAGGTTCTCTATAAATCTCGCTATATATATATATATATAGTTATATGCCAAATATAAAATTCTTAAACTATAATATTCTTTAAGAAAAAAGCCAATAAGGTTTCAGTAATAACACAGGTGCTTTGTTCCTGGGTAAAATCCACATTACATTCATCTAATATATATATATATATATATATATATATATATATATATATATATATATTTATAATATATTAAAAACATACGCTTACATTGAAAGGATAAAATTATGTACAAAATATCTATAAGGCATAAAATTTCGTACAAAATATTTAGATTTCATTATTAAATAACCTATGGAGTTTGATATGCCGCTAAACAAAATCAACCAGCGACCCAAACCCGAGGATAAACAAATAATGGTCGAAAGCGATGATATTGAAGAAAGAATCTATGGACATAGTCCTGCATAGACAACATAGACTTAAACCAACCATTCTTTTCATTCTACAGAAACAACACAACCTACAAGAAAGTAACAAAATAATCCCTGTCTGCCGTAATCAGTAATGAACACTTTTTTCAGAAACGGCATAGAATAAGCCATCTGCATTCGCCAGAGAGCAGTAAGACACTTTCAAAAGGAGACACTCAGAAGGAATGGAACATGCTTTCCTTTAAAAAAAAGGAAGCTATAACCTTGCTTGCTAAGACTAAAATATAAACAGCTGTTATTTAACTAGTCGCGATAAAAGGATATATATAAATCACATTTATTTCCCAGTATATTATTACATAAATATATATACTAGACTCTCCCGTCGACATTCGACGTATGAGGGTCAAGCAGATCAGTTCCTAGGAAACCGACAGCCTGACAACAACACATGAAGTTTGATTATAGTGGTGAAGGTTTCGTGCAGGACCATCCACACTTTTTGAAGGGCCGGATACAGAGACCTGGTGCACTAAGTGCCACAAGGTCCCCAAACGACTCTCCGCAGGTTTTGAATTCAGAGTTTTCCTTCTCCTCGACCAGATGCGATCCAAGGCTATAGAACTCAGTCTGCCCTGCTATTTACCCATAGCTGGAGGGAGAAGAAGAGGATTCATACATTTCTCAAGGGTATTAGCACCTAAGTGAATGTAATGGATTCGACTGGAATTCGAACTCGGCTCTCCGATTCCTCAATCCAAGCCGCGATCCATTACCCCACCGTGCCTCCTCTTTCTCTTCTCTCTCTCTCTCTCTCTCTCTATATATATATATATATATATATATATATATATATATATATATATATATATATATATATATATATATATATATATATATATATATATATATATATATTGAGTGTATCAAAAAATACTGTTAGAAAAATTTGTGAGGGATTCTCACACCAAAACAAGGACAAAAGTCTATATAAACATTTATCCGCAAATCATTCGTTTTCATTATTAAGTTTGAAGAAATTTTACAATAGATGGCGCTGTGTTGCTATATAAACAAGTTTATATTTGTCATTCGTGTACATTTTTGGCTAGTTTGCCTTCAACGCTTAACGTGTGCAGTAGCGATTTAACTGAGAAGTGTTCCGTTTAAATGTCGTGAACAGGCAGATATAATTTGTACATACGACCGCGTAAATAGTAATGGAGGCGATGCTGCACGGCTGTATCAGATTCCGTTTCCAGGCTGAAGGCAGCTGAGTCATCCAACCTTTGTTGTTGCTTATCGTCGCGTTATTGGGACCTGCGGCACCACAAACTATGTATCAAGGAAGACAAAGATCCGCTCGTACGAGCCTGACCACGAAGAATTCATTCTACAGACTGTCGGAGACGATCCAGGAATCAGCACATGTCAAGTGGTCCTAGCATGTCATACATCTCATAGAAGGTATTTCAAGAGCAGTTCCTCTATCCGTATCATTTGCAACGTGTGCAGTTGTCTCTCGCTCTCTAATCGCTCACCGCGGGAGAACTTTTCCCAAGCTGCCCATCCTTCGGTCATTTTAACGGATTAGACAATATTTGGAAGCGATGAAATAGCAAATTTACACAACCAACATTTGTAGACGGATCGGATTCCCCATGGTACAATACAGGCTAGACACCAGCATCAGTTTACAATTAATGTGTGGGATGGAATTGTAGGTGACTGTCTGGTAGGTCCATATATTCTCCGAACACGCCTCTAATGATCTGTCTACAGGGGCTTTATTTCGAACACACTTCCAGACCTGCTAGAGGATGTACCCCTGCTAATATGAAGACGCATGTGGTTCATGCATGATTGGGCTTCAGCACATTTTAGTCACATTGTTCGCGATGCTACCATAAAAGATGGACAGGTAAGTGAGGGCCCGTTCAATGGCCTGCGCGTTCCCTCGACCTCAATCTTTAGAATTTTTATGTGGGGGTCCACCTAAAACAATTGGTTCATGCAGTTGACATTAATAATGCAGGGACACTTCATCAACGTGTCATGGAGGTCTACGAAACCATTCGACATGGTGTGGGATTATTTGAAAAGGTCCGCCAGTCAATGATCCGACGGGTGCGTGTAGAAACAAGCGGAGGACTTTTTGAACATTTGTTCTGAGTTGCTGTGTTGAGGTACAATGATGGCCTTTTGGATATATATTTATATGGACATTTTTTTTTTTTGTTTTGGTGTCAGGAACCTCCCCCAAAGTTTGTAAAAGTACTTTTTGATACACCCTGTGTATTCATTATTTCCATATATATATATATATATATATATATATATATATATATATATATATATATATATGAAGAAAATATACTGAAAAAAACAAACAAAAATCCTAATATGCGATTATGCTGTTTTAATGTATAATGTCAACGTCGGACGTTTCGGTCTAATAGACCATCTTCAGGACATATTCATAAAACATAATTAACATAGACCATATACAATTCAACATGAAAAAGACGATGGACGTAAAAGCAATACCAATCCAAACAGATAACAGAAATCTTTTATAAGATCAGCGTTCCGTTAATTATGTTTTATGAATATGTCCTGAAGATGGTCTATTAGACCGAAACGTCCCACGTTGACATTAAACATTAAAACAGCATAATAGCATATTAGGATTTTTGTTTGTTTTTTCAGTATATTTTCTTCATACTGTCGAATCTATATCCATATATTTGCTTATATATATATATATATATATATATATATATATAGAGAGAGAGAGAGAGAGAGAGAGAGAGAGAGAGAGAATCAGATAGATATACAAATTATACTCACATACACATGTATATATTATATA